TGGTCAGCATTAGAGTCGAATACAAAATCGTAGCGACGGAGGATGCCAAATGAAACAATCATACTCATAAGTCTCAGTCAAATTCCAACGCCATCGTAACAATGTAAGATATGATGATGGCAAAAGACGAACAACTTTTAAAAGATAAATAAGTCTACACCACACTACATAAAGTCTTAAGACCGAGCAACAGTACTATCAAATAATGTTTGATAAAGATGTCAAGTAATTTCAAGTGTATTTCAGACTAACAAAAATGTAGTCATAATTGTCGAGTAAAAATTAGTACAGCGTAGTACAAACACTGCCAATTCTCAAAAATTTAACATAGTGTTATCACTATTTGAATGATCTGATCATATTGTACTACGTTCATAAAAACTTAATTGTCAAATCATTTTTCATATCTATATGGTCTCGTCCTTTACATGCATGATATATCTGCCATTGGACATTGAACAAACACGCAACAAGCAAGCAATCGTAAACAATACAAATATCATGATATTATAACATGTATAAGGTAATGCGGATTTGAGTAATATTAGCTGTACACACACAAACTACACTCTCCCAAACGTTCAACAGTTTTTAACCAGTACAAAAATAGATCTAACTGGAAACAAATTTGACTCATCAAATTTGTACAAAATATAAAAATTTAAAAAGTATACATATGGTATTTAACAATTGACAAGTGTCTTAAACATAAATACAATAATATAGAAATGTAACACAGTAACACAGAAATGTTGGCTCTGACTATAAAAGATTTATCTATTCTAACGAAATTCGTTAATTTAGAATATGATATATCTGCCTAAGGACAGCTTTGCAATCGGTGTCTGGTTTTGAAGTATACATGTATTATTATTTGGTTAAATATAATCACCTTCAATGTAATCATCTATGAGTGGAAACTCCCAATTGTAATTCTTCAGATGAGAATACTGAATTCGTTGAATTTGTTGACTACATGCTTGTTTTAAAAAGTATCATTAACTGTATCAAAAAGAACAAAACACACTAACATGAATGAAAAATACAAAAATGATGAAAATATTATTGAAATTAATGGCATGTGTTGAAATACTAGAATCATATCTTTATTTTCAAATTTTGTACAAGTTCAAACCATTTAAAGCAATATTTTGTACATGTTATAACATGTAGGAGGTACTTTTGTATTGTACAAGTTATAACATGTACAGCATTTCTGTACATGTTATCACAATCACATCTTGTTCACGACATATATATCATGTGATAATGAAGTGTAGATATTTCAACATCTTACAAAACCATTATGCTCCCTTACATAGATGCATATATATCCTTTTCAACAACAACAATAAAAATGTACATCCTTCAAAGTTCATTAATTTCAGTTTCAGATAAATAACTCAATAACCCACATTCCAATGATTGAATGCTTACATCTTATTTACCCCAGTCAACTTGAGGTTAAGGATACAACCGAAAGCAGAAACTGTGCATCATATCTTGATATTTTCCCGCAATATTGTAACAGATGGACGACTTCAAGCAAGAATCTATAACAAACGTGATGATTTTAGCTTCCCATTTGTCAACTTCTTACTAATCTATCTTATGATCCATCGTGTGGTGTTGACATATTACAAATCAGTTAATACATTAATCTCGTGCATGTTCACACTACACGGACCTCATCAACAGGGGTGTAGTCCCTACGCACAAAATCCTCAGAGTTTTGAGGAAAACGACCGAAAAGGACATTACATAATTTTTTACGATCACTATCCCGAATTGGTTGACCAGTACGATGTGTCGGTGTCTCAACTCATTAGCAAATGTTTGAATGGTCTCAGATCTGAAGATAACAGTTAAGTCGTATGATATATTACTCGAGCTATTGTGTCCCACTTCCGACTGTGACATTTTAAACTAGAATGACAGGTGGTGCATACATATAAGGAGACGCTTACTCTGTCGACGCACCTGGTCTTGCTCCTTTTGAGTTCAGGCTATTCCCTCAGTTTTCATTTGTGATCTTGATTTGCCTATTCCAAATCGATATCGTTTTTATCAATATCCTTACATCTTTCACGAAAGAGGTGATTTAAGAAAATCACAAATCCATCCTTTTCTTTTAAATTTAAACATTAAAAAAGGATAATGCGAATCCCCTTTCTTTATAATTGATACCTTAAATACATGTACCATATATACTTATAAAGAACGATATATAGCCTATAGGCAAGTCATCTAAATGTCCCTTTAATGTCTTAGCAGCATTTATTGACTAATAATATACACGAAAACATTCAGTGTAAAATAAAGATATGAAATCCAAAGTAACTTTAAAAAGAATAATAAGATAATATGGCATTTAAACGTTACCCTTCCGGAGCACCTGAGTTCACCCTTGGGTTTTGATGACGTTCGTGTTGCTCAGCGTTTGGTTTCTTATGTTATGTTTTGTATGCTGTTTGCTTTTTTTGTTGGTCATTTTATCGTTTTTGCCATGGCATTATCAGTTGATTTTCGACTTATGAGTTTACATATCCTTTTTATGTTGTTCGCACTGTTTTACAACACATTCGTGTAGCATACAATATTCTAATTTGTATAATTAACAGCAAAACAAATTAACACGCCTATTTACAATAAGATCAGAGGTATTGGCATAGCTGCAAATCATGATCTTAAACTATGTATCTTTAGGGTAATGAGTTGTCTAACTTTTCGTACTAGGCGTAAATGTTAAGTTAAAAAAAGGTGATCCGCCCGGTGTGGGAAATTTTGGACAGAAGAATCTGTACATTGTGTTTCACTTTTCAAGATACTTTTAACGTTTTAAGTGTTTCAGTTGTATGTCAAAACAGTTCATATAGCCGACATTAAGTTTTTTCACTCGTTCCGTTGGTTGATATCGTTTGATTTTGTCAGTTTTTATGAAATTTTCACAATGGAATTAACCATATTCATTAATTAAAGTGTATGTAAGTGTTTGTTGCCTTGCAGCTGCTATTTGTTACTTTGTCTTTTATTCTTGACTTATTTATTGATGTCTGCGAATTATTTATCCCCGGTTCTGTTGATAGTCTACTTTATCTAATATACATGTATCAGAGGTGTCAATCTTGAGGTCACTCCTCCTCAACATCGTCTATAGTAATCAGAAAGTTTGTTGTTATGTCGTAGTTGCAATTTTGAATTGTGTATAGGAAAAAATTTACATGTTTATTTTTTGTAACAATTTTAATTGTATTACTAGTAATTGAAATATTTCAACTACATGCTACAATCATTAAGACATTGTCTTATTACACACAGAGAGATTTACTTTGTTGATTCGTCACGTTAATTGTAACTGTTTAAATTTATACACCAAACATTTTAACTTGAACCTATGCACATGTACACAAGCTGAACATCAATTCTTATTTTAAGATTATATTACAATTTTGTTCACTCTTAGATTGCTGGATATGTTCTGCATTATTATTTGAGTTTTCAGGCTGTCCAATGTAAAACGAGTAGCTAGACAGTCCTCTCGTCAGTCAGGTGAATGAATCATTTGTTTGTCCATTTTACAGTTCTTTTGGATACATGTTTTAGTGTTTAAATAGTCTTTTTCACTCGAGGTTATCCGTCTCAGGTTGCAACGTGAGCCCATACCCTCTAAGCATGGGCTGAGTCAGCGCCCAACATGCTGGTATACAATTTAAGAGTAGGTATAATTGAGTAGCCAGCGCTCAACATGCCACGCGTAGAGAGGTATTTCGAAGTAACACAGTGTTCTTCGAATTATGGTGTTACGAGTTATTGTCAATACTTTGTATTACAGGCTCGCTTTGCTATTAATTTCACATTGTTTGCGGTTTCATTCAATACTCTGCGATTATGTTTTTTTTAGGTGCAAACTCAAGCGGCTCGTAACATTTTCCTTATGGTCTAGGTTATTTGAAGTCACAGTAATACATCTACACTCTATTGCAGTTGCAATTGTTGTCAATATAAAGGAATGTTATGCGACTGTCATGCAAGTGAGAGGTTTAACTAGCTATACAACAATGTTTAATCCATAATTTTCTACATAAGAAAATGCCTGTATGAAGTCAGGAAAATGACAATTGTTATCTATTCTTTTGATATATTTGAGTTTTTGATTTTGCCATTTGATAAGGGACTTTCTGTTTTGAATTTTCCTCGGGGTTCGTTATTTTACTTTTTTCAGCGATAGGTGCTCGAATAATGTGAATTTAATTTCTTTATTGAGATATGTATTTTACTTATTTTTTTTAAATACATATCAATCATAAGCATGTTAGATATATCGTCATTTTTTTTTTATTCATTTTGATTTTTCCCATTGAATTGTCAATTTGTTATCTTAATTGAAATTGCTTCATGGGTCTGTTTTCATAACAGGTCTGATAAATAGCGTGTAGATGCTTCTAACACGCATTTAATCTTAAATCAGAAGGTCATCGTCTGTTCATTTCTTTTTTTTAAAGAAACACAGCACATAAATTAACATTATAACGATTGTGTAGGTTTTTCCATGTGTTGTTTTCGCTATAGAAATAATTAAATACATGCATGGATACCAATGACTGAAAACGAGCGTTAAAAAGAAAAATGTATAAAATTTCAAATAAAGAACAACATATGGCCAGCTAATGAATTCCATATCGGAGTTATAGAACCCAAAAACGTTATGTTCTATGCCATGTTGTCTCTGTTAGGGAGTTGTCTCATTGGCAATCATATCACATCTTTTTATTTTCTATTAAGCCATCTTTCCGATTCGTTACCGATTTTACCATCAATCATTTAGTATAAAGGTTATAACTTGTAGTACAAGAATGACAATTTTCCTCATTAAGATATATAATACGATAATCTACATTTAATTGACAATAATCGACAATAAAATCATTGACATTTGAAAGTATGACATGATTTTGTGACAATTAGATAACTATAATTTCAATTTATTGTGATAATTTATTTGGGCACATAATCGCCGATGTTTGATCGTCCGTATTGAAGAAATATCTAATAAAATAGAAGTAGAAACTAAGAGAGTAAGATTGCTGTTTATTTTGAGGTATGTGTTTAACGTTTTGTGCATTGTTGTATAATTTGTTTTGTTGATGTTTATCCTTAGTGTATTTTTTTTTTATTAAAATTTCGATTTTATTAACACTATCCTCTATTCACATATGTAAAGTGAAACATAACTTTTTATTACTTTATGCATACAAAGATGGAAAATAAATCACGCTTTTTATCATAGATTTTTGAAACATTTACCCAAAACAAATGAGGCAACGGATACCAAAGGGGCATTTAACTCATAGGTCGAAAATAAACTGACAACGCCATGGTTAAAAAATAAAAAGACATACAGACATACAACAGTACACAAAACAACATAGAAAACCAAAGACTGAGCAACACGACCCCCACTTAAAACTGGGTTGATCTCAGGTGCTTCGGGGTAAACAGATCCTGCCCCACATGTGGCATCCGTCGTGTTCCTCATGTAAATACAAGCCCGGTTTGTATATATATATATATATATATATATGTATATACCCCTCTACCAAGAAATTTGTTTTGCATGCACACGTATAAAAATTGCAGTTTTTATCCAACGCAATCATAGGTTTGAACGTTGTTTTCAATTTAGACTTTTATATATTTTTTCGTTTGGGCTTGTATTATATTTTCCTTCGGGTTTATATGATCCGTTCATCCTATTTCGACTCTTTAAAATTCAAGAGTCTATCCTAAATTCAGGTAAATTATATTGCCTTCCAAATACCGTTTCGATCCCTAACATCACTAAAGAGACATTGCTTGTCGAAATCCGGATATGGTGTACAAATTTTTGCACCTCATGTTTGCGGTATACCATCTTTCCGCAAGTTTATTGTTTTCTGTTTGGTAATGAATTATTATAAGATCCATTTTAAAACATCTGGTGATCCGTTTTTTTTGGCAATCGCCAATGGCAGTCAGCAGGGTTTAAGAACATCAGTTGTTCGACCTGCAAGTCAAATGCGTTTTGTTAAAATATACTTTTTCACTTTTTTGGTCTTTTGGAAAATGTTGTTTGTGCTGTATTTAGACCCCTCTACCAATAAATTTGTTTTGCATGCACACGTATAAAAATTGCGGTTTTTATCCAACGCAATCATAGGTTTTAAAGTTGTTTTCAATTTAGACTTTTATATATTTTTTCGTTTGGGCTTGTATTATATTTTCCTTCGGGTTTATATGATCCGTTCATCCTATTCCGACTCTTTAAAATTCAAGATTCTATCCTAAATTCAGGTAAATTATATGGCCTTCCAACTACCGTTTCGATCCCTAACATCACTGAAGAGACATTGCTTGTCGAAATCCGGATATAGTGTACAAATTTTTGCACCTCATGTTTGCGGTATACCATCTTTCCGCAAGTTTATTGTTTTCTGTTTGGTAATGAATTATTATAAGATCCATTTTAAAACATCTGGTGATCCGTTTATTTGGCAATCGCCAATGGCAGTCAGCAGGGTTTAAGAACATCAGTTGTTCGACCTGCTAGTCAAATGCGTTTTGTTAAAATATACTTTTTCACTTTTTTGGTCTTTTGGAAAATGTTGTTTGTGCTGTATTTAGACCCCTCTACCAAGAAATTTGTTTTGCATGCACACGTATAACAATTGCGGTTTTTATCCAACGCAATCATAGGTTTGAACGTTGTTTTCAATTTAGACTTTTATATATATATATATATATATATATAAAATGACTGAATAATAGCCAACGATAAATCTTACGGGGCGATGGATCATATAAATATGATACAGTACACTACAAAATATAATATATAACCAGTCTAAAAGGGTATAACATCACCAAAAAATGACAATAAACGAACAAATGTAACTATAAATATTTCGGATAACAGATATCCTTCATCAATATGAGCACGATGTAAAATGAATCAGATAAATCTATTCTGACTATTAAACTATAGCAATCTTGAATTCTATACAATAAAAAAAGTGAAACAGTTTCACCCGAACATCATATGTAGAGACGCTAATAAATTTTTAAAATTTCCAAAAAACGACTCAAAGACATGCCTAAAATGAAAATAGTAATTATAGATACTAACTGGCACAACTCTAAAATTCTAAAATGACGTCAGTTAAGATGTTACAACAACTGCGTGTAAATACATTCCCAAAAAAACAGCATTGATCGATATAAGCTGGTAAAATATGACAAACAGAGGCTGCGTATTTATCATTCCAAATAAATAGCAGTTTTATAATGAAAAGAAAAAATAATAGTAAATTTGGGCTAAGGTTAAAAGTTGGACGTGGATGCGTACTTGTATATCCCTACCAAATGAAAAGAACCCTGGTATTTAAACTAGTAAAATTCAAAAAATTCCAAAAGAATCCTTAAAACTGTAAGAGTCAAGTAAGGAAGCCGGAGTAACTGGAAACAAATGATGTCAGGAAAATGAGTGATGGTAGGGAAAATGAGTGACTCATTCTATGTTTTTTTCATTTATGCCCTCTGGGGAAACTGTCCTTAGCTTTCTTATCCAAAACCTTTCCCGAGCAAGTCTTTCGGCCCTTGACCAACACTCGTTGTGGTCTATGATTGTGATTGTAAGGTTTTTGAGATCAGCTTGGGCGTGCCCAGGTGATCTCAAATGACGACTTACGGGGAAGTCGGGCTTGCAGGTGTAGTCACTTCGATGACCATTCATGCGTTTGTTGAAAGGCTGTTCTGTCTCGCCAATATAATGCTGCCACATCGACACTGAAGAAGGTATACAACATTCTGTGTTTTGCAAGTTACATTACAAAATATAGTGTATACAGACCCAGTGGAGTGGCAAGTAAATGTTTGAGTATTCAGTATTTGTTGGCAAGTCAGACATCGTCTGTTACCACACGACTTGCACCATCCTGCAGTTGAACAGCTTTTATTAGAGGAGACGTCAGCTCTCATAAATAAGTCTTTCAGACTTGCTGGTCTCCGAAAAGCTAAGACAGGAGGATTGGGAAAGATATTGGATAATTTTGGGTGATTGGCAATAGTTTGCCAATTGGCACGGATCAAACGTGAAAGGTTAGTGAAGGCGGGATTGTATGTTAAAACAAACGGAACTATTTTGTTGCGCCTCTTCTGTTTGTACTGTAATAGGTCATTGCGGCTGTTGTTATTAGCACGCGCAAATCCCTTATCTATGTCCAATTTCTTATAACCTCGTTTGGTCAAAAAACCGCGAAGTTCCTGTAACCTTTTAGTCAAAGCCTCCTCAGAGGAGCAAATCCGCTTTTCTCTGAGAGCTTGACTGTACGGGATACTTTTTGTACAGTGTTTGGGGTGACAGCTTTGGGGAGAAAAGTACTGATGTTTATCTGTAGATTTACAGTAGAGATCTGTTGATATGACACCGTCCTTAATAGATGCAGTAGTGTCTAAGAAAGATATTTTGGAGTCGGAAATTTCATATGTAAATTTAATTGACTGGTGTGCGTTGTTTGCATGTCTGATAAAATCATCTAATTTTTGTTGGGATTCAATCCATTTCATGTCAACATCATCGATGAAACGGAACCAAGACAGAGGTTTGGATAAAGATGTTGAAATAATTTGTTTCTCTAATTTTCCCATGAAAATATTGGCGTACGACGGTGCCATTTTTGTCCCCATCGCTGTCCCGTTTATCTGAAGGTAATGTTCACCATTAAAGGTGAAATTGTTGCATTTCAGGACCAGAGTGAGCAGCTGGACTAAACATTCGGTAGGTGGTTCTAAGGTGTTGCGAGAGTCCCATATTTCCTTACACGATTGTATTCCGTCATCATGAGGTATTTTGGTATATAATGAGGTGACATCTAAAGTGACAAGGAGGGTTTCCGGAGGAAGAAGGTTCATTGATTCCATTTTACGAAGATAATCTGTTGTATGTTGAATGTGAGAAGGATGATTTTCTACATGAGATCTTAAATGAAAGTCTACGAATTCCGAGATTTTCTCAGTCGGGTGGCCGTTTGCGGATACAATGGGTCTACCAGGGTTGTTAACCTTGTGTATTTTGGGAAGAAGATACAATCGACCAGGCTTGGCGTTCTCTGGTTTTAAATATCCGATTGTATCCTCATCTATGTGATCGTCATCGTGCATGGTTTGTAACGCAGTAATAATTTTGGAACTAAACTCGGAAGTAGGGTCATAGTCAAGCTTCTTATAAAATCTCTCATCAGAGAGCTGACGCTCTGCCTCCGCGATGTAATAACTTTGCCAGAATCCTCAGAATCAAAGAATATTTTGGTAACAAGGATAATGAGGAACACTCAGACACGTCTGACTCGGAGGAAGAAATCAGAAATCCGCATTTTAAAAAGAAGAGTTCATGGATTCCTAAACCTAGTAAATCTGCTACACTTGAAGATGTTATCGACAAAATCAAATCGGATGTTGTTCATCTAGCTAGCAACAAGTACTCGTCATTTTATAACACCTCTTCTGACGAGAAAAAAGCCATACAATCGCTGAGAAACCGAGATGATATTGTGATAAAACCAGCAGACAAGGGAAGTACCGTTGTGATAATGGACAAAGCTAACTACATCGCGGAAGCAGAGCGTCAGCTCTCTGATGAGAGATTTTATAAGAAGCTTGACTATGACCCTACTTCCGAGTTTAGTTTCAAAATTATTACTGCGTTACAAACCATGCACGATGACGGTCACATAGATGAGGATACAATCGGATATTTAAAACCAGAGAACGCCAAGCCTGGTCGATTGTATCTTCTTCCCAAAATACACAAGGTTAACAACCCTGGTAGACCCATTGTATCCGCAAACGGCCACCCGACTGACAAAATCTCGGAATTCGTAGACTTTCATTTAAGATCTCATGTAGAAAATCTTCCTTCTCACATTCAACACACAACAGATTATCTTCGTAAAAAGGAATCCATGAACCCTCTTCCTCCGGAAACCCTCCTTGTCACTTTAGATGTCACCTCATTGTATACCAACATACCTCATGATGACGGAATACAATCGTGTAAGGAAATATGGGACTCTCGCAACACCTTAGAACCACCTACCGAATGTTTAGTCCAGCTGCTCACTCTGGTTCTGAAATGCAACAATTTCACCTTTAATGGTGAACATTACCTTCAGATAAACGGGACAGCGATGGGGACGAAAATGGCACCGTCGTACGCCAATATTTTCATGGGAAAATTAGAGAAACAAATTATTTCAACATCTTTATCCAAACCTCTGTCTTGGTTCCGTTTCATCGATGATGTTGACATGAAATGGATTGAATCCCAACAAAAATTGGATGATTTTATCAGACATGCAAACAACGCACACCAGTCAATTAAATTTACATATGAAATTTCCGACTCCAAAATATCTTTCTTAGACACTACTGCATCTATTAAGGACGGTGTCATATCAACAGATCTCTACTGTAAACCTACAGATAAACATCAGTACCTTTCTCCCCAAAGCTGTCACCCCAAACACTGTACAAAAAGTATCCCGTACAGTCAAGCTCTCAGAGTAAAGCGGATTTGCTCCTCTGAGGAGGCTTTGACTAAAAGGTTACAGGAACTTCGCGGTTTTTTGACCAAACGAGGTTATAAGAAATTGGACATAGATAAGGGATTTGCGCGTGCTAATAACAACAGCCGCAATGACCTATTACAGTACAAACAGAAGAGGCGCAACAAAATAGTTCCGTTTGTTTTAACATACAATCCCGCCTTCACTAACCTTTCACGTTTGATCCGTGCCAATTGGCAAACTATTGCCAATCACCCAAAATTATCCAATATCTTTCCCAATCCTCCTGTCTTAGCTTTTCGGAGACCAGCAAGTCTGAAAGACTTATTTATGAGAGCTGACGTCTCCTCTAATAAAAGCTGTTCAACTGCAGGATGGTGCAAGTCGTGTGGTAACAGACGATGTCTGACTTGCCAACAAATACTGAATACTCAAACATTTACTTGCCACTCCACTGGGTCTGTATACACTATATTTTGTAATGTAACTTGCAAAACACAGAATGTTGTATACCTTCTTCAGTGTCGATGTGGCATGCAGTATATTGGCGAGACAGAACAGCCTTTCAACAAACGCATGAATAGTCATCGAAGTGACTACACCTGCAAGCCCGACTTCCCCGTAAGTCGTCATTTGAGATCACCTGGGCACGCCCAAGCTGATCTCAAAAACCTTACAATCGCAATCATAGACCACAACGAGGGTTGGTCAAGGGCCGAAAGACTTGCTCGGGAAAGGTTTTGGATAAGAAAGCTAAGGACAGTTTCCCCAGAGGGCATAAATGAAAAAAACATAGAATGAGTCACTCATTTTCCCTACCATCACTCATTTTCCTGACATCATTTGTTTCCAGTTACTCCGGCTTCCTTACTTGACTCTTACAGTTTTAAGGATTCTTTTGGAATTTTTTGAATTTTACTAGTTTAAATACCAGGGTTCTTTTCATTTGGTAGGGATATACAAGTACGCATCCACGTCCAACTTTTAACCTTAGCCCAAATTTACTATTATTTTTTCTTTTCATTATAAAACTGCTATTTATTTGGAATGATAAATACGCAGCCTCTGTTTGTCATATTTTACCAGCTTATATAGATCAGTGCTGTTCTTTTGGGAATGTATTTACACGCAGTTGTTGTAACATCTTAACTGACGTCATTTTAGAATTTTAGAGTTGTGCCAGTTCATATCTATAATTACTATTTTCATTTTAGGCATGTCTTTGAGTCGTTTTTTGGAAATTTTAAAAATTTATTAGCGTCTCTACATATGATGTTCGGGTGAAACTGTTTCACTTTTTTTATTGTATAGAATTCAAGATTGCTATAGTTTAATAGTCAGAATAGATTTATCTGATTCATTTTACATCGTGCTCATATTGATGAAGGATATCTGTTATCCGAAATATTTATAGTTACATTTGTTCGTTTATTGTCATTTTTTGGTGATGTTGTACCCTTTTAGACTAGTTATAGATATATATAAATAGTCATGAAAAGAATATTTAAATCATAATATCCGTGTACTTATTTGGTATAAACATAGCAATTATTTTTTTTTTTCTTCAACTTACAACTTGCAAAGTTTAGAAGATGAGCATTACAAAAGCAGCTGTTATTGTCTGTCTCCTTGGAATAGTAAAATCGCAGATAGGTTAGTGATTTAATTGGTAGTTCATTGTATGTGTTTATTTCTCTGTGTGTGTGTTGGGGGGGGGGGGGGGGGGGAGGGGGTGTTCTATCGTTTTGACCGATTCTTATAATGTCTTCTGGTAAATGACTTTGACCTTAGATTTTCACACAGATTCCATTATAAATAGAGCTATCAATAAAGTGTATGTGGTATAAATATTCTTCACACAATAACATTTTTGTCCCACTATGATTTGCAGTCTGATGATCTGAAAAATGACCAGAACATTACTGTATTACCGTAAAAATGATATTCTGAATTTTCCTTACTTCGACATTGTTAAACATTATAGGTTGCAATTCTGTAAATATAGACAATGCAATTTCCCATAGGAACTCCCTTTGCGGATAAAACTGTGACAGTTTTACTAGGAAGTTTCGTGAAATATAATATCCTAGAACGGAAAGTTTATATGCACTACTATTTTATTCAAAGGTCAAAATATAGGGCTGTGTGGCATATTTTCAACATTTATATGCCCTGAACTTCTAAGAGTTTAAACTTATACTAAAATTCTATACTACCCTTACCTCCATTTTTGGACCTCCTAAGAATTAAAATTTAGGCGCTACCATGTTTTTCTATACTGGATACATTCCCAAGTGATGTCTCTATGAAATGAAACACATAGATCATAAATGGGAACCTGTACGTTAACAAATTAACATATCTTTGAATATTATATATCTCCCCAAAAGAGGCGTGGTTTGAGAAACAGCTGTATTTACAAAGTGCAACCTATAGAACACATTTTTGTTGATGATACAAAGTCTTGCATTTGCCAATCTGTTTAAATACTAAATAAAATATTATGCCTTTTCAACTTTTGAAAGTATTTTAATTACAATTTCTTATATATATACATGTATATATAAACAAATTTTAAATTCAAAAACAGAATTTTTTTTATTACAATTGTTAAATCCATTATATTATTTAATTTTTAAAAAAGAGCAAATAAATGTTTGTATTATGATATCACATTTATTTTATTTATTCAAACTGAATGTTTCATGATTTAATAGTATTCAGTGAAACAATATTTTATAACACGTTGCATGAATCGTAGCGGCAATTGTTATTAAACACTATACTTATTTTTAGGGATACCATAGCATAGCTCGATCATAGGTTAAACGTATGTTGCTAGTTTTGAAAGTATCATATATCACACAATATTTATCATTTATCACACAACATTCGCAAGAAACTGCCACAATTTTTTTTTTAAAACAGGACGTCCGTGTTCAAGTTGGCAGGTGCATTGTGCTGATCAGATTCAATGTATATATGATTGGGAACAATGTGACGGTGAAACAGTTCATTGTCGTGATGGATCTGATGAACAAGAGGATATTTGTAGAAGTAAGACATTGTTCAAAATTTAATGTTGATTAGTTTATTTAGTTGTAAATTCAACGACAGCAATAAAGATAAAGCAGTATAAAAACCTTATGCTTATGATAAATCATTAGACAACATGTTGTCAAAGGTATACCCAAATAGTCAATTAATTTTAAAAATATGATTTCGATAATTCAATACAAAACAGTTTCAATGACAAACTTATGGGATCTCATGTGTTCGAGTCAACATATTTTCTAAAACAAAATGATATATGAAATAAATCAAATGAAAAGCTGCCACTTCTTCGACGCTGAGCAATAAAGATCCAAAACAGAACTTCTTATTCTTATTGCGGAATAAGCATTTTTGTCACGTTCGAAGTACACAAAAAAATTAAAGGAGAGTTAACATTTCAACAAATATGTTCACGCTGTTAACGTACAAAAATAGCTTGACATTCCTTCTGACGGTACAAATAAACTATGGATTTGATGATTTTCTTTAATTGCGGATTTCATTAATCCCAATAACGATTGAATATTGGACCAATATTTAGCTCCTCTTCAGTGAAGAATAGCAGATCATTTATGATATATTGTGGAATTAAACATACTTCCTGCAATTACAAATTTACACTTGTACTTTTTGTCTAAATATTACTTTAGAAAAATGCATTATGACGTAACATAATTGTGTTGCTTTTCTAATATCGAGAAATTACTTAAATCTTATCAGAAAGGATATCGATTTAAAATTTCATACTACATGCCAATATTGTCATACATTCCATTGTAAACTGCAGAGTTATTTTTCGTGCAATGTCAATTTCATGTCAAGTCAATTTTCGTCAAACTGTTGGGGGATTGAAAATTGGTGTCATCTTAGTTGGATATTAACCAAATTATAGTTGTAGCAGTGATTGGCTGCAATGACCAACAATATTTTTTCAATGTTAGACAAATATCCACACTTGTATTGGGCATGATATTGTTGACAGTCTTGCTAATTTTCGCCCTCCTCGAATTACTAAAACTCATACAAAAAATGATATTTTTCTGACAATGACATTATGTTTCATGTGCGTTGGATTTTCAAGATGAAAATGATCCAAGTTAACATATTAATTGCAAAACGCTTAAATTTATCAAATGTATTCTCTTTCATCTAGATCGTTTTCTTAGTTTTAAGATTATAAATCTACAGAAGTTGAATGACTTGACAAATGAAGAGTTACCATTTTTTGTCCTTTCCATTTTCAGATCACACATGTCCAAGTACTGACCTAAAATGTGCTGATGATTTACAATGTTTTTCTTATCTGTATCTTTGTAATGGGAGACGGGATTGTTATGACGGATCAGATGAGACATTTAATATCTGTAAAAGTTAGTATATCATGAAACATTAAGACCATGTTTCGCACATGTGAATTTACAATTAAAAAAGAAATCCACAAATTTCATTTGAAGTCATTGTCATTAATTTACGAATAATTCACGTATATTCCATTCCAAATCATGATATAACATGTCAATTTGCTACTAAAACCTTTATGTAGATAACCTACATCTTTCAGTGAATAAATTTTATGCTGCACTTTACCTAAAGTGGATCAATATACCTAAAAAAATGGCTTTTTAATTTCATCGCAATTGTAACATAATATATAACGTAGCTCTTTATCGAAGAAACTGACATTTCAGTTTTATATGAAGTCAGGATCTTTTCTACAAAAGGTCAATGTTTGAAAACACAATATGTAAATAAAAACATCAGTGCTCTAGTAAAACGATAGTGTTTTTTATTGATGTTTGTAGATTTTGACGATGTTATTGTGTCAATGATTACTGTTTGTACACCTTTTTTACATATTATTTCAGTTTTCTGCACATTTTTTTCATGTATTCTTATTTAATAAGTGATGTTATAAAACCTAACTATTATTCTATAGACTTTTGTAGCGAGGGTGTCAATGGCTTAGATTTTAAGTAACAAGGATAAAAGCTCTACTCACAAAGAATCAGAAAAAAGATTAAAAAAAAAGATAAAAAGCTATTGTGGTTGTAACTTTTGCGTAATCACAATTTATTTTTTTCAGAAAAAAACTTGTATTGCTGTATTCCAAATATGTCTAGTTGACCAAGTATACCTGTTCTCATTGTCATAAATCAGTTGTGCCTTTCTGCCACTCCTATTCATCTATTTGATAAATATTATTCGTTTAATACGACTGTCACAAAAATAGGAGGTTTGGTTAGCCGTAAAACTAAATTTCTCCACCATTTTCTTCTGAAAATGTCATACCAAATCGGGAATATATTGGGCTTATTGTAGTAGTTGTTGAATCGTTCTGTTGATTGATATAGTCGAGATTTTCATTTTTTTATGTTCTTTCATGAAAAAATGTAAACAAACATGCAGTGGACGGTAAATAGTAATAACTGATTCTTACAAAACAAAATTGAATGCAACAAATCATTTAACAACTGTAATGGTCAAGTTTTATTGATAGATCAGAACATATTGAAAATATATTTTTTTCTTTATCATGACTCTATCTGTTCACTTATTCGTCACAAGCTCCACGTGCTCTTTGTAAATTGTTCATTTGTGTAGCGTTTCCAGAAACCTCGGCAACAAAATTGAAAGTTACTTAACCTGAGATCAACAATCGTTGAATGAAATATCATTTGTCAATATAACGTTATCGATTAGTTTAAGACTTAAAACCGGACTTTGTTTAGTATATATTCATGCATTGGTTCAATAATTTTGATAACAATAAAATTACAAGAAAGTCGTTTCATATGATTTTAAAACAATTTGATGCTTTAAATCTGTGTATACAGAATTATTCTGGATAATGACAGTATGGTCTGTTCACAATTGATTGCTTTTTGTTACAGCCAAAGAATGTGCATTCAGACAGCGTTACTGCGATAATGGGAACTGTGTTTACATTACTGAGTTCTGTAACGGAAAGGATGACTGCGGAGACAATTCTGATGAAAAAGAACACTGTTTTCGTAACAATCACTGATTTCATGTCTTTAAATAAGAAATTAAAGAATGATACAATGTTCACACTAATTTTTATCACGTTTCATCACAACGCGATAGAATCTATTATAAAACATGTTCTACATATTTTATAAAATTATATTTTCTGTGTGCTAATATACCTGCGTCCCGGTGTATATTCGATCTGATTGGCCAGAACTTGTGTCCAATGCTTCTGGAAGAGAGGACACATACTATCACAACAAATACGATATGTCAAACCTAGGTTAAAGTCAGCAATATATAGAATTTATGACCGCCATCTCGAATACGTTGACATTTACAAAACCAGATAACCTCAACTATGACTATGTAACCATTTCACGTTCTCCACGTATAAGAAGTTTTGCATTGTTGCAAGTTTTTAAGAATGACTCAAATAATAGATGTATCAAGTGAAGCTGGCCACAATCAATCTTTCGGAGTCACGGTGTCACTCCTGATTGGTTGAGGACTTTCAGTTTTCACTTTTCCGCGGAGTTTGGTATTTTTCATATAATTTTTTCCTATGGAAGGGGAGATTGTCCAAGGTTCAGTTTTAAGCGTGGTTTTGTGTTATTTGATTTGTGTTTTGCTAGTTCTTTCCTAATTTTGTCTGTCTTTATAAAAATCAAAATGTGGAATGATTGCCAATGAGATCACTCTCCATAAGAGACCTGTTGACATAGAAAATTAACAACTATAGGTCGTCGAACGGCCTTCAACAATGAATAAAGCATATACAACTCAGTCAGCTATAAAAGGCCAAGTCCGTATGCAAGCTCTGCTGGAATGTTCCTTCATATGAATGGCAAATTAACAAAGGCATGTGTTATCATCATTCTCTCATGATACACCAACGATTTTGGAATGATTTGGCTACTGTTCATTTCTATTTGATATTGACATATATGGAAGTGAAACAAATTATATGTACACAATGTTAACCAGTTCCAAAATGAAATAGAAATTCTTGCAAACTAGTTTGAACAAGATTTGCTTGAATATTCTGCTTTTCTTGCCAAATCGTTATGGTTTTTTTTTTCTATTTAGAATATATAATTCTCATATATATATATATATATATACTGCGTTTTTTCTGAAATGGTTAGACTAGTAATCATTATAGTTGAAATAAATCAAAAAAGGTGTTTAACTTTGTAATATAGATATATAACTAGTTCATTTATAGCAATATTTGTTTCTGTAATAAACTACAAAAATGTGTTTATCAGAAAATAATTTAACCCGATAAAAAAACGATCTTCCTTATTTTTTGAAAAATCAATATACCTGTTAATGTTTGCTCTAACTATAGATATTTAATATGCCTGAAAAAAGACATATAAAAGTATGTCTAAAAAATTAATTCAAATTAAAACCTGCCATAACATGTAACTTATGTTGTACATCATTTATTCAGGTGGTGATGCAAAATGTCTTTTTTTACGGTTAGAACTTCGAACTAACTTAGAGAGAATATAAAACGACTAGCAAATTTTTGATTACAACAACAAATATGAAGATGATTCTGAACTCTATATATCTAAACTTAGTGTATTTACTGTTTTATTAGGCATTGATCTATTTCTTTAAATATAAGTTATCATAACATTTAAATGTTCAATCACTTTTAGAGTCAAAGTGAAATTTGAATTGCACTATATATAATTGAAATTATTTAACATTCAATTTAGAATAATTGACGATTTAATTTCATCATAACTTGAAGTTTGAAAGCATAATATCATTAAGTGAAGATAAAATATCTATTGTCGTAAATTGTATGTGTAATGGACATACATGTATATGCTAAGTTAAAATGTGTGTGTATGTGTTCTCTATCGTCATAACCATTACTTATATTGTCTTCTGGCGAATGATTATGACTTTATGACTCCCTGATCACACAACCACATTGTTATTAAAACTTCCAGTAACAAGCATAAAGCCTATGTAATTTAAATATTTCTCACACGCCAACATTTTAATCCCATTATGGCTTGCAGTCGGATGTTCAGAATCATGACCAGAACCCTTATTGCTTGTTTATACCGTTTATCCCGTACTTCGACATTGTTAAACAACAGATACATATAACACATTTTTGTTAATGTTCTAAGTCTTTTATATATCTGTTTAGATGCTAAATCAAATATTATGCTTTTTAACTTTTGAAAGTTGTTCAATTACATTTTTCTAATATTTTTTATTTATTTAAAATAAAAAATTGTCAACTAAAAAGTGAAATTCTAAATATTGTTTGATTTTAAAAAAGCACTCGATCTTTAATATTTTTGATTTTGATATCATTTTCTTTCTGGAATAGTCAGTTAAGCGATAAGGATGATCGACAAATTGTTGCTCTATTACTTATTTTGCAGATCAAAATGTAGGACATACGGTTATCAAGTTTTGTGTCGCAAATGTCCGTAAAAATCACGACCTTGAAAACATTTAAGATATAATTGCATGATTCATTTTAATTTGTTCATTTTCTTTAATAATATTACCTGGTCAACTTGTCGCAGCGATTTTTGTTGAAAAGGTGCAATTTGGGTACTGTGACATAATATTCAAATTCCTTGTTTTATGTTAAAACAATCTTAATGTGTAGCAAACCACACTCAGTCGTCCAATGAAAAAGCACCGACTATGATATCATCCAAATGTTACACGTTTTGATTGACATCATATTTGTTGTGTTTAGTGGATTGATATTTCAGGAGACAGTCGGTAATCCAATATATATTAATTTTGCTCCACTATTCACCGTACGGTTTTGTACTATATTTGACACAGAGTTCTCAAAGACCCAAAACAAACAGTTATCTTGCAAAGTTTTTATTTTCATTTTAAATTTCAGTTATATTGGTAAGTTTCTGCCGCTCAAAAACCACATTACAATAAGTGCTTAACACTGTTATATCTTAGTGAACTTGAATTTATAGATAATACCAGAAAGAAATTCACATCTTGATATTTTATTGTCACAGATGGACAACTTCAAAAATAAAATCTATGACAAACGAGATGATTTCATCTTTCCAGTTGTCAACTTCTCTATTTTCTGCAGTTACATACAACAAAAAGCAGTGGTATGTAACTGCAGAAAATAGAGAAGTTGACAACTGGAAAGATGAAATCATCTCGTTTGTCATAGATTTTATTTTTGAAGTTGTCCATCTGCTCTATCAAATAGCGTGTACACATCTCAGTTTATAAATTAAGCGCGTTCATGTTTACACTGTTCATATTGCATGAACAGGAGTATTTTCCTTTCAACAAAAATGTTCAAACAGAGTTAGGAGTAAGGACGAATAGAATTAATAAACATCATATCTTTTTGTTTGACACCAGTAAAGTTGTCTTATCTGTTATTCATTTATTTATCCGAATGTGGCTTATTTGTTCGCTCTGGAGTCCACGCGATTTCCTTGGATTTTGAAAATCTGTAAACTACCATCACCTTACTGAACGTCTACTTTGAAAGACAATCCACGACTTTGCACATAACTGACATTATCTTAGAAAATAAAAGGGGTACCTACTTGATTGTATCTTTTGTCTAAAGGAGACATGCTTATCACATTTTTTAAACACAAATTGGAAGAAATCAATCGATATTTTGTTCTTCAATGTCTGTTTGTTTAATAATCGATTTGTCGGTTTGCCACGGTATTATCTTCAAATTTTGAAGTCAAAATGTAAAGAAAACAGCCTTCTTCAAATCAATTGCTGATGAAAAAAGTGACCATTGATTTCAACTGACTCACAACAGAAATGTCAGAAATTACATTTACACACACACATTTTTAAAGAAATCTTGTTTGCTGCAACATACAGCATTAAATTGATAATACTGCTGAATTGACATAAATAATAGTATATAGCATCTTGACCCTTAGCAGAAAACATTTGTTTACTGTTGTAGGTAGCTCTTGTGGAATAAGTCATAATGAGGAGATAAGAATCAATATGTAATATATAAATATACACATGCACAATCTGTCGATACATTATTGTGGTATTGTACGAGATTAATTTTTTTTCTGAACTTAAATGACGTCTTTACACTAAATCCATTGGATGTTGGATGTGTACTGATTGCTAATTTAGTTTTAGATACATATTTATTTTTGTTATTTGTGATAGGCTTTGAGCTGTTAGCTACTGCGAGTATTCTCAGATCTGTGCCAATAAACCGGTGACATTCTATGGCATTTGGTCTTTAGTGGAGAGTTGTCTCATTGGCAATTATGCCAACTCTTCATCTTTTTATAAATCATAGGGTAGGTGGAAAAGTGTTTCGTAATCGACAATTTCTTTGTCAGAGTATCAGTGTCGTGACGGGTTTGTCAAGTGTGCTGATGGATTCCAATGCATATGGGAGACTGCTTTTTGTAATGGTAAAATTGCATGCAACGATGGGTCGGATGAAAGCGAGGCTACATGTAAAGGTAAAAATAACACTAATAACATAGTTCAGTATTTACTATTCTCTATCAAAAATTAAGATATGAGGTGACATGCTCGACCATTCATCATTGTCAATTTTTTTCACTTGGGATACAAACATGACGAGAATGTCTTTTAATCATGCATAAAACTTTAATAACAGCTAACAAAATAAAAGGTTGACACTAAAACGTACAGAGGAAACGTTTCCAGTTTTGGCAGAAAATTCAATTTTGAAAAAGGCAAAAGTAGAATACCTCTGTTCAAAAGTTACCAATCGTTTAAAAGAAAACAAATCCGGGTTACAAACTTATACCGCGGGAAACACATGAACTTTAAGAGGAAAACAACGGAACAACAAAAACAATGAACAACAAAGACAACCGCAAACATACATAGAAACGGACTTTTTGATAACAACTGCCATATTCATGAATTGGTACAGGACATTGTATGAAACATGGTGTATTGAACCTGGTTTTATGGCTAGCCAAACCTCCCGCTAAAATAGCAATGTTAACAAATAACGCGAACATGACAACACTACGTTACAGGTATACAGTACACTCAAACGCAAGAACACTC